ATTTTGCAAGAGGGCTTCAAAATTGTTGAAAGCGAAAATAAAACCGTGGCAGAGATAGCGAAGGAAGAAGCAAAGCTGCGCATCAGGAATGAACAGGTTCAGAAGTTTTCATTTTCCCTGCTTTTAGTACTTCTTCTCATCGAACTACCATTTTCAATTGAATTATATCGTTGCAGCAAAATGTTCTGTAGGGTTCCTATGAGGCAACCAACACCATACGAAATAATCCGAATTGGTCACATTACTACCGCCGTTGGACTCACTCGTCACCAAATGCGTCACTATCGCAGAAAATTTTACAGACGTTATTATCGCACGCGTATAAACAGGTTAATGGGTTGAGGAATGAGTCCGTTCAGTTTTTTTTTCAAAGAGCTTTATTCAAACCAACACTAACTTAATCGAATATTTATGTATTCTCCGTCATTGTTTACGACCTTCCTCCCACCTCTCGACCAATTTGTTGATGCCGTTCCGCCAAAAATCGCCAGGTCTAGTGTCGAAGAAGTTGTTGAGCCAGTTTTTGAGGTCCTCTTCGTCTTCGAAGGTAACACCCCTCATTTGGTTTGACATGGAGCGGAAAAGGTGATAGTCGGTTGGCGCAAGGTCCGGAGAGTACGGTGGATGCTGAAGAACCTCCCATTCGAGCTCTTGGAGTGCGGCTTTGACGACTGTGCAACATGCGGCCTGGCGTTGTCGTGGAGCAAGATGACCTTGACCTTGCCTTTTCATTCGAATTGCCTCATTTACACGGTGCAGCTGGACAATGTAGAGCTTCTTGTTGACTGTGGCGCTTCGTTCGAGCATTTTCCAGTGCACTATACCTTCCCAGTCCCACCAAATTCTGAATTCCGAATTGTGCAGGTCGTCCGCTGCGAGGCGCGTCGTCGGTCAATGTCGCCGTTTTTGAAATTTGCAAACCATTTTTGTGCTGTGCGCTCGCCTATGACACCTTCTCTGCATAAGTCATATACCACGAGCAGCTTCAGCTCCTCTTTGACCGCGATGAAAAGCGAAGAGAAGAACATGTCGAAAATGCTGATTCTTACCTCCCGGGCATTCCATTTCCCATAAAGAGCTCTATTTCCTCTTCTGAGGAAACCTTCTCGCAGGTCAACACAATAGTGCACATACACGGATTTCGAGGGCTGTTGATTTGGCAACGTATCTGTGCAGGATACCACTCTTTCGTTGAAGACTACGAATGAAGCATTCAAAAAAATTTTGTTTTCTAATTCTGTCGAACTTCTGTACTATGCAGATAGGTCCTTCTCTCATTCGTCTTCTCTATAGTGTTCGTGCCTTAGGCTGTGTTCATGCCAAACGACTTGAGCTATTCGGTCACACGACTCTCGAACCACGCGTATGTGACTGACCGTGTCAAACCGCTAATCGTTGGATGGCTACGAGTGGTAATTCAACCACGTTCGGTAGAGAATTCCTCACAGCAATTTGCAGCTGTCCAACGACTGCTTTAGGTTACGGCACCAACTGAGGACATGTCGAATCACTATACTCTCTAGAACATTCACTTGTACTGTACAGCTAGGTGAGATTACGTATGCACTATCTGTGAACCAAACAGATGTCGAGCTCAACGTTCACAGGCTATTCGGATTTTCATGGCGGTGTCAGTGCGACTCTCGGAAAAGCCTCATCTGGTACAAACTCCCATCGTGCCTACCATCTTCCCAAAATTTCACATTTTCCTAGCTAATTTCCCAGCTTTGCAGAATATTTCGTAGCATTCTCCCAGAGACCGGCACTGCCAGGGGATACATATGACGCAAATGAAACTAGAGAAGTTGGGAAAATTAGTGAATAGAAAGAATATTTCTTAGCCTAAAAAAATTACCATCAAGGCCCCTAACGGCTAATTACGACCCGCTTCCCTGAGACCAGGTACAACTCCCTGATATCCTAACGACACTGCACATTAAGGAAGTAAGAAGAGTGAGCATAACCAAGGATTCGAAAAATCGCCCCTCACTTGCTTGCTCCTACACAGAATTTAAGCTTACTGTTTCACTTTTTTGGAAGAAAGGAGGAGAGGAGGGGGACGGGAGCGGCTGAGACATGCGACAGACACTGTTATCAGGTTCGTTATTTGACCTATAGGCTGAGTTTATATGTTACCCTCTCATCGAAATAATAAAAACCGTAAAAAATTGCGACCGCTAGCGAATCTAGAAGTCTGTGAATATTGTCGAAATACTAGAAACGGTTCTTGCTATCGTACCGTTAGATCACACACAGGAGTCTCCTTCCCCCATAACTCTTTTCTCCATGGAAGCCCTATAGAACGTGAATTTATCTCGACTTCTCTGGATAAGCTGAGGGTTTGGAATTGAGTTTAATAATCCTTCCACCGCTCTCACCAAAGTGAAACAGAACATACGAATCTGTGTTGGCTGGGAACAGCTTGTATTACAAAACCACTCATTAGTACTAAGACGTACTCATGACTGGTTAAAAAAAGTCTGATAAATTGGGTTTGTATTTGGTCAGAGGCTTCTGACAAACATTCTGTAGTGCACATTGCAACTACACATTCCCATGATATTTTCATACGATGAGCACAAGAAAATTGGTGAGGTTCGCAAGTTCGAGTAGTACGAGGAGGAAAATGTTCACAAGGCGATTGCTCTTCCTCTCGTCGTTCTCTTCTCTGAAAAAATTTTTTTTATTGAATTCCGTGAAGTGGAAGTAATTCTGAAGTATCAGTTTGCCACTCACCCCTTCTCCTTGTCTGAACTTTTCGTTGCACTGAGACCAAAAGGAAGTGGTATGTAAGGAAGAACGAGGACGATGATCAGTGAACCAAATATAAGCGCCAGATTGACCATAACGTAAACGCCTTAAGCAGAGCTTCCCTATTATTCACTCTGCGGAAAGTATCTAGTACTCCGTTATCATGCTATATATAATCCGCTAAGTTTGTCTGTTGGTGTGTGTGCGTGTTTATGTGTGTTTGACTGGAAGTTCATAACTTCCTTCGCCGCAGAGAATATAAATTGATAAGGTATATAAGGAGTGGGATGGGATATCACGGATAGGTTGCAGAATGTGATAACAACTGATAAGGACTGATCAGAGGCTTAGAAGAAGAATTCACCAAATGCGTACCGCGCGCCAAAGTGATAGTGGGACGTTTTTAACCCATTGCGTACCGCGGCGTTTTCGCGAAAACGGGCGCCTGTGGCCGACGCCTTTTTGTCGACGCGACTCGTGGCGCGCCGAGTATAAACAAATGTGATTTTTATCATATACATATGACATAAAAATAATGCATATACTTCGTATTATACATTACACTTGTATGCATGACTATGATAAGTAAAGTTGGATACCATTACGTGATAAACGCGATGGGCTACAAACATGCGGAAATTGACAAAAAGGTTGATAAATTCAAGAAGGATTGGAAGCAGGACGTAATATGTTTATAAATTTATTGTTCACTTTACTATTTTGCGAATTTTTAGTGGAGTCACAGCCAGAATTTTGGCTTGACTGGTTACTAAGAAATAGACAAAGGATATAATAGCTGAAGAATTTCCCAAAAAATTTCGATAACTCAGCTCTAGTTTGGTCCTGCAATTTCCGACACATATATTTCTTTCCGGAAGACTTCTCAAATATACTGACACTCTTGGGTCAGCGAACAGTGCTAAATAAGTTCAAACGAAGCGTGCTGCACCATGTGTAGCACGCGGCCATACAGAGGCGAACGGGCGTGCTGCACATGGTGCAGCCACGCGGTACGCAATGGGCAAAAGACTCAACGAGGATATCATTGAGTGTGACAACGAAGTGATAACAGTTGATAAGATTGTATAAGGAGTACTATAGAGGGAGGGCCATCAAAATCGTAGCGCCGGTACCTGCAACGCTGTGACATTGGCTCCAAGATATAATTCGAGGTATGGGACAGGAACATCACCGATGGATGGTAGAACTTGTCAAGTACTGTTAAGATCTGATAAGGGAAATCAGAGCCATCGCAGCATCGCCTGATTGATAGCGCCTGTCACAAAAACAGTAGGAAGATGGTTTCAACAGGTGATATAGGGGATGTGACAGGGATATTACTGTTGGATAAAAGAAGGGGATGACAACTGATAGGGTCTGATAAAAGGCATTGCCGTCGTTTTTCTTCCCCAGATCGTAAAACTCCAGTGATATTGGCGACGGGCGACCGGGTGACAAGCGACCATATCTATGGATAGGAACAGCTGAAAAATTATCTCCACCTCATTTATCCTACCACTTATACTTGCTTGGATCGGTGACATTGCCGCTCAAGCGTGTATGGAAACATCCAAGTAACTCGAATCAGCAACTGTGTCCGATGGCAGTTTGAACTCAGACGTGATTGCACGATTGAGCATAGTCTTAGTGGCGATGCATATCTGGGATCCTTTGTGATAAGAAAGTGCCGGAACGCTTCAAATCGAAAATCTATAGGAATGTCTTTCGACTGGTAGCATTATATGTTGCGTAATGCTGGCCCGCGACAAAAGAACCTGAAGATTGCCTAGGTGTGATGGAGATGAAAATGTTGCGCTGGACGCCGGCGCTACGCGACTGGACCGTATTTGCAATGGTGTCGTACGCAAAAGCTTTATATACCCCTATAGCGGACAAAATGCGAGAAACGCGCCTTTGATGGCACAGCCATGTAATACGCGCGCGCAAAGGCTAGAACTGTCCTTCAGAGTGGTCCATTACTCGACGTTTTCTGAAAGCGACGACGAAGGCGTTCCTAAATTGGCTTGCTGCATTCAGACTCGGGAACGGCCAGCATTCATTCCGACCAGGCATTCAATCTGGAGAAGTGGCGTCATAATTTCAGAAAAGTGAACCCTGCTACGGAGTGGGGCAAACGGAGAAGAAGAAGAAAAAAGCATCAATCGTAGTATTAATATTCGTAATATCGTATTTACTGCAGTAACGCTTTGCACGCTTCATCACGTCGGACGCGCCGAAGTGTACGCCAGTCAGACTGGTGAATGATGTAAAATATTCATCTTGAAATACGTACCTATTTTTGGCAAATCGTTTACTTTCGGTAACACATTGGCAAGGATTCCAAGAATGAATGTCAGCGACATAATATTCGTTAATGCCATGCCTAGCTAAAAAACGACCGGCTAAATACAATCCCTTTGTGCTGGAGCGTGTCAGGGGGTTGGTTCGATGCAGCGCCTTCTTCACCAATTGCTGGAGCGGACAAGCGAAACAATTGGTGGAAAACAGTTGGCGCCGTGTTAAACCAAGCCCCTGATTCGCCCTACCATTAGCAAAAACGACTATATGTGGATTAAGCAAAGTACAACAAGACGTGAAATGCTAAAGGGTGATCATTGTTCTACAAATTAGCCTCCTAGGTAGTCCATAAGCTGCGAAACATTTCTAAAACCAGGGCACCATGTGACGTCTTGTCGGTTACGTGGTGTACAGAATTGCTTGCGAGATGTATATTCAGAAGCGAAGCGGAAATATAACGTGGAACAAGTTTTGAAATGGCATTTCGAACCGTTTCAATTGATTTTCTTTTATTCAAGACAACCTTATTACGCGGTGTCACTGGGTAGGTTTGCCTCTGCGGGCTAAACTAACCACGGACTCGAGAGCAGGTG